AGTAATTCAAAATGAATCTTATTCTAAAATGCAAAATGCAAAGCTGTAACATTACTAGAAAATAACCTAGAATGACATCAGGAGGCGATGACACTTTAGACAGAAGAGACTAAATGCAAGTTGTACAAAAGAAAGAATTATATAACCATCACAGTTCGCTAAAATTAATTTTTTATCTGTGAAGTGTACTGGCAAGACAATAATAAGAGAAGCCATTACTTGACAGGAAGTAATTGCCAAAGATGTAGCTGATGAAACACTGCCAGGCAACATATAGAAAGAACTCTTAAAATTCTAAGTCTATAAAAGAAGTCAAAACTGCACCAAAGATCTTGACAAACACCTCACCAAAGAAGATTTATAGATGACAAATTAGCATAGTGAAAAATGTTCCACATTAGACGTCAGGAAAAGGCAAATGCAGAGAATGTGATGGCAGTGCACACCTGTTAGAAATGTTGAAATCCAGAATGCTAACAGGGGTTAAGTCCTGCCAGGATGTGAGCAAAATTCCTGCTCCTGCATTATTGACTGAAACACAATGTAGTATAGACACTGTATAAGTGAGTGAAACTATTTCTTATAAAACAATGTATCCTCACCACCTGATCCATCAGGAAAGAAAGTTTACATCTATATATAAACCTACTATATGGGAATGTTTATCATGAAGTCAGATTGAGAGTCAAGTCTTGGAAAGAATCAGATGAGTTTTGTGAGATTAAATTAATAAGCAAACTGTGAGACATTTGGACACTGAACTCAGCAATAAAAGGACATTTTCTGTAAAACCGTGAAAAGACATGGAAGTAGTGTTGCTGTCTCGACAAATACTTCACATCACACACATGTTTAATCTTACTGAACTAAAAAAGGCAGCAATGCTTATGGCCAGTATAGAAGATTACATTCCAACATCTTGACATTCTAGAAAAGGCAAAAGTATAGTAATGATAAAAAGATTAGTGACCGTCAAGGGTTGAGGGAAGGAAAGGCTTATGTGGCAGATTTAGGGGTAACACAAGCATCTCTCATGTGGGAAATTCCAACAATGGGGAGGCTGTGCACATGTGAGAGATGTACAGGAAATCTTGGAATTTTCTACTCTATTTTGCTGTGAACTTAAGAGTGCTGTAAAAGTAAATTCCACTTAAACAATTCACCAACCCCTACATACACACATGTGAACAAAACTGGTATAAATTGTCTGCTCACCAATAAACCAATAAGATAAAATTGATATATGTTTTACCTTACACTTCCATTTCCATATAGAATTTTCATTTATAGATGATTTAATAATTTAATAATTTAATAATCATCTTCAAGACAGTTTACCTACATCAATTCTATAATTATAGATTAAATTCAAAATATTTATTTGCAAACTCACAAACATCATTTTACATATTTAAATTCAGCGAAGTGTATAAAGTGGACAAGTAAGGCAACTGAAACAGTATATTCACTAACTGTGTAAACCACTCACTGCTCCAAACCATCCTTTCTCAGATGTCGTTATGTACCTGCATACCAGACATTCCCCTTAGCTCCATCTAACTGGGCAACTCCTTCTCTCCAAGGCAAGATCTATTCCAGGAGTCAAATAGTCACACACTGAGAACTCATTCCCTGTAAGACTTTAGACCTATGATTTGACTCTAATTTTTGCAAGATTTACTATAACCTCATGCTTGAGTGTCATATGGATGAACTACACAGTAACCTACTATTTTACCAGGACGAAGAATTGCACTCTTCAAATGAGCTCTCACTTAGACATTTCAGTACACATTTTAGTTCCACTGTACTATACATGTCAGCAATACTAGAAGTCTCCTGATATGATGGAGACTGGTCTATTTGTTTCAACAGAGATAATTAACATTTTGTATAGCAATTTCATTTGCTAGTTTGCCACTTTGCTTCTGGGATCTAAAAAGCTCCAGCCCTCCCACCAGCTGTGTGGTGATATCTATGTCTATAGGTGTTCTGCTCAATAGCCATGAAATAGTGATTCTCAGACCCTGCAATCACCACAGCTCAGTAGACCAAATTTCTTTATCCATGAGGCCTAGTGCTCATTTTTCTCAGAATGACTTTGAGGGCCATAAACCCATGCCACTGATACATATTCCCTGCTACCATTGGTGAATGAGGAGTGCTAACTGCTTACCCTTCTCACTGGCTTATTCTCTTTCACACAAACCATGCTCATTGTTTTTGTAACTTGTGGCCCATGGCTTAGCTTTAATCTCTTCCTCCTCTGGAATTTCTTATCTATATCTTTCCGAATCCCTCAGCATTCACAGTCTCGTTTTTGACTCCTTTTTTTCCTACTTTAACTAAAACGAAAATCTTATGTGAATAGTCCAATTCTCCTTTTCCATTTTCAAAAGCTGTTTCAATTTTGTTTATACCTGCAAAGATATGGATCTGTACTCCTGGCTCTTAGAGAACTTTTCCTTGTGTCTTCCAAAAATTTCTAATTCTCTTCACATTTCTGGAATTCATATTATGGTATGAATTACTAAAACTCATTTTTTTTAATGAATCTGAGGTTGCACTTTCTAGTCCCATTTGCAAAATAATGGTGTTATTTGATTAGTTCTAGTGAACAAACCATTAAGAAAAAAGTGATGTGAGTCATTTCAGACCAAGTCTCTTCAGGAAACCTGTGTCTCTGTCCCAGTGTTGCTAGCTAGAGTGACATGACAAGTAGTGAGGTGAGAAGTAATCACTCGTTGACCCTCAGAGTCTCATGTCATGGGCAAGAAAGAATACTCCCCGGCAAGAAAATGCTCCCTCTTTGAGGCACTGAGAAATTATTTTTTATCCAGCTACTAATAATCTTAGCTATAAATCACAAACTCCTTCCCATTGTCTTCTCTTGGACTCTGGTATTGGAGAATTTTGCATGAGATAAACATTTCCTATCTCAATTCTAAAACCCTTGTTTCATCTTGAGCAATAGTAATATCTACTTATACATGATCTAAAACCATATCTTTCCAAATCTTGACTTCCAGATAAATTTGTTTGCTTCTTTCTCTCAATTTGGCTGCTCACTCTCATAAGCATGATTTGAAATTTTTCCTTTCTCATAACTCCTTCTTTAAATCATTCATTATCCATCAATACACAAGGTGATCACAATCTCTATTTTGTAGTACAAATTTGTTCAAGCACTTCAATTATGGGTATTATTTGATTTCATCCTTCCTTAACTTACTCTCACATTAATCACACATTAAATGGTTGAATTCAAACTTCAATTGAGTAATATCGTGGGTTTCGTTGCCTTTCATGTGTTTTAATCCAGTTTACCTACCAATGTCTCAAACATGTGGTGACTGAGCTGTCTGCTATATCAATGATGAAATAACCAAATAACAGAGCACTAATGAGTCAGGTCATGAAACAGGGAAGAGAGATTCTGACATGAAAATGAGACCACTAACCAATAAACCTCCATACTTCCTGAAATACAACAACTTACTTGGCATCTTTTCTCAAATAATGTACCCCAAACTCACATGTCTGTATCTAGTCTCCTAAGCATCTCATACAAATGTCCTTCACTGTCAGCATTTTCTCAGTAATAGCAAACCTCACAACTAAGAACACAAACAGTAAAATTGGCTGTCATCCTTGAAAATGTTCCAGAGTAGCCTTCATCATCACCCCATTTCAAATATTTTCTGATATGACATACTAAATATATAACAGCTTTTCATATAGTTCCTATATCCCATGGCTCAAAGCTAATATTATCTTGTATGAGTAGAATTAAGATACGGACATTTTTTTTTATTGTAAGTTACTGGACTCTAAACTCTGTCCAGCCTATTTCTGGCAATCTGCCTTCTTTTTTACTGACTGGGACTGGATGAGCATCATCAGAATGATTGGAAGAGTGGATGAATGAGTAAAAGTGAATTTATCTGAATTCTCACCATCCACATATACATATGAAGCAAAAATTCATGTCTAGGTTATATAATAGAAAAAAAGTTGGTTTAAAATCCAAACAGGCAGAACTTGAAGAACTCAGGCTCAAATGTAGGTTTTCTCAATTTAACTAACTCTTAGCTACTAGTTACTTTCCATATTGAACTTCATGGCATGTATTTTATTTAACTTGTAATAGACTTAGAACTACCTTCAATTTTTAATAAAATTGTCTATGAATATAGAGAGTAAAGTCCCTTGAAGACATTCTGACATTTTAAAAAATATGTCTTTAATTAGCAATACTTTAAGAATTATTTCAATTTTTTTTTTTAATAAGAGGGACCAAAGATGCTATTCAGCCCTCTTTTTTTTTTTTTTTCGTTTTTCGAGACAGGGTTTCTCTGTGCAGCTTTGCGCCTTTCCTGGGACTCGCTTGGTAGCCCAGGCTGGCCTCGAACTCACAGAGATCCACCTGGCTCTGCCTCCCGAGTGCTGGGATTAAAGGCGTGCGCCACCACCGCCTGGCTTATTTCAATTTTTAATGGAAATGTGTATGTTTATAATACAAGTTAGTGTTGATGCTAAAATGTACCAACACAGCCAGCTTGTAAAAGGAAAAGGGATTTGAGCAGAAAACAATGATATAGATTTTTATATTGTTGTTGTCTATCATTATCATGTATATTTTCCATGTAGAAATACTGTGCTAAGCAATTTACATATATACTAAAATAGGAACTGTTAGCACCCTTATTTTACAGATAAGAAAATGGAAGAATGAGAGGAAACTATCAAAGCCTAGAGGCAAATCCTATTTCTGCAGAATTTTGGAAATGCTGAACATCACATCACCTTCTGGATATGTAGTTAAGGCTTCTTTTTTGAGCCTTTAACAAATGTGAAGTGGACTAAAGAGGAGGGTTTTTTTAATACAAATAAGGCCTGGTAACAAGTAATTTTGATTATAATGAGATAGAGAAGGAGAATAATATGTAGAGTATCAAAGTGATCTTAGAATATTTAAGGAACAAATAGTGTTGTCTTACCCATGAATTCAATCCCCAAGTGGTCTGCTACATCAAAATCAGCATGGAAAGAAGGGAAACAGAAAAAGAAACAGGTTAGAAAAAATCCAAACAAGGGCATCAATGCTTGTTAGACCATCCTCCAAGACACAGGAGCTGTGTTTTTTAATTATGTTAGCTTATGAGATGTAACTTGTAGACAGCCAACAGTAACAGTTCTTGGTGATGTCTTTAATATTTATTTCCACAAAGCATATAAATTATTACTTAGCATTTTAGTGAAATAATAATGCATAAATAATGAAATATACCAAACAAAAATTTTAAGAGAGGGGATAAGAATTCCTTATAAAAGTACTTTCAAAATTTACCATATTTCTTGTAGATTAAGTCTTTGTTCAACATTAATTTATTTGGACCTCTACATTAGCAAGAATGGCAAAGCCTCAAACAGGCTATAAAAGGCTATAACGCAGTATGCTTCACATTCACACACACATTGATGACACTAGACTTCTTTCTTGGACATGTTATATGAGACAACTGTGCATTGACAAAACCAAACACCTTACATAGGTCGGAAAGTCTTGGGTAGATTGAAGGCACAAATCCAGTGTAACTGACTCACAGGCCACATGACTGCTCGACTTGACAGGTCATCTGATCAAAAACAACTGGCAGAGATTTCACCATCGGTGCTGTGTGCTCACAGACACAGACAGTCCTGAACAGCTAGTCTGCCTCTGGCCGGCAGAGTAATGAACTCTCCTGAGCTTATTTACTTAAAGTGTCCTCTTTCTTTTAATTGTTTAATTGTGTATTCATTTACTTTGTAAATTCAACACATGACTTAAAACGATATTTTCTATTACACAAGTATTTCCAGTATTTGTCTGGAATGAGGGTAAATGGGACAAAAAGCTATTGCTTAACTGTATTTGTTTTCAAATCCAATTGCTGACCTCTATTTAGGGGTTTAGTAAATAAGCATTTCCTTTTAGGAAACATATGCATAATTACTCATTAACATTAGTGCATGTATGAATATACACATATAAAACACACTTTTGACATTTCAGTCATTTTAAGTACTTAATTCATTTTAATTGCTTAGTTTGGCACAAATTAAGTTCACAAGGTTGTGCCACCACCACACTATTTTTAAGGCTCTGGCTCTTCCATCCCATCAGTCAGAGGCTGTCTTCTCATCTCCCAGGTTCCCTCCCCTCAGCTACAAGCAACCTCTAGGTTCTGCATCAGTTCAGTTTGCCTGTGGTTCACTTGAAGTGATTAAAATTCATGTGAATTACAGAATGTCTACTTTTATGAAGAAAGATGGCAACAGTGTTTCTAAAACATGGATATATCCCTTTCTCTTCTTGGAAATTTTTTTTATTGCTTGTGCTGAACTGATATGCACTTTCTTCATTATCTGTTCATTTTTGTGAAAAGACAGCTTCTTGTTCTCAGAGAATTCTAGCATCATTGGCAGGAAAACGCAGAGTCAGATCTCTGGCCATCCTTCTTAGTAAGTGCCATACTGAAAATCTGCACTGACAGGAGAGTCCAGAGGCAGAGATATTGTTCCTAGGAGGGATAGAAGTTGCTATGCAAAAGAATGAGATTTATGAGGAAAAGTGACAAGTGCATGCTTATGTTCTTCTGCAGAGAAGAAGCCCCCAACTGTATGCTCCAGAAACATGGAAGAGATACTGGATATATAGAATTTTAAAATGAGGCTTGAGCGAGATTAGCTATTGTGAAGGAAAGGTAAGGTAGTTCAAAACACAGGAAATAATACAATCTGTATTTGCATACAAACAGAAACAAAGGAAAATCAGGAGACAGGAGTATTTAGAAATCAGCAAGCAGAGGCTCTCCTGTGGACCACAGATATTCACAGGCAGAGGCCCTCAAGGAGTGGACCTAGGGTATTTACAGGCAAAGGCTCTCAAGGAATGGGCTATAGATATTCACAGGCATAAACCAGTAGTTAGGAGGCCCCTAGCCTCAACTTGGTTGAAAAAGACCTTTCTGCTAAAGCCAGTTTCCATTCTTCCACACCCTAGGCTGTTCTACCTATGTGTGTGACAAGGCATGTAGATAGCCAGTCTTTGTGACTCTGTAGACGGAGCTAAGAAGGAAGCAGTATGTTGATACATTGGAAATCAATCTGCATACTTTTACAGTCACAACAAATTCCTGGCCAGCAGCACAGACAAATATCACGACTCAAAATTATTCAAACACTGAAAAATATAAATAGGAGTCTTGATTAAAAGAATTCTCTCTTAATATAAAAGTTGTTAGGTTTGTAATTTGCAGGCTCTCCAGCAAAGTGCCATCTATGTTCTTGGATATTGAAGCAAAATTGCTCACTAATTTTTATGATGGCCTTTTGATGGAAATTGACAAGCCTGAATATACAAATAAAAAATTAATTTTTGTTTGAAAATCTCTATCTCCTGCTCTTTCACCTCCCACCACTACCACACACACTGCTGTATTAAAAAATGCTAAACACTGTGATCACTATTTATCAGTTTGAAGACACTGACAGGCTTTGGTTCACACAGAAGGATCAATGAAAAGCAGATGACAGAAAAGCAATTCATTTTGTTATTACAGTCATACACAGAACATAAACCACGCTATTTCTCAGAAGCCTGTGCTGATTGTTTCTCAAGGCAAACAGCTTGCCTAAAGATGTTCAGGCCTGCAGGAAAACATCAAGAGGAAGAGAATGAGAATAAATCAATTAATAGTTTATTTACTCATTCACTCAAACCACTGAGGACCAGGAACTGTTCAGATCTCAGGGTGAGTCAAGAAGGACACGGCTCAAGCCAAAGCCATCTGATTTCCCCTGGAGAATGTATGTAAATCTACAATTCACATATTTTAACACTTCAATCAACTTTTCTTTAGAAAATCCATACCCTCAACATTGTGTAAGTGTGGCCCACTTTTACCCAGCATTAACTGCTCTAGGAAATGATATAGTGATGATATCTCACAGCAACACCTAAACTGGCAACCATGCCCACAGTAAAAGGGCATAAGGCAGCTACACAGAGGGGTGACCTATCTTTACCCAGTCATCATGCCTATAAGCATGTGGGACTGCAATTGAGCCCAGGTGACCTGACTCTCATCTTTCACTTATCCAGTTTATAAATGTCCTCCCTCTGAAGAAATAGCTAATTTTTGCAATGTCATCATCAAGTAATGAGACCTTCTGGGATGAATTATTTAATCCACTTAAAGGAATAAATTGTTTTCAAGCATCCTCAGGCACCACTGAAGCACCACTTACTTACCTCTTAGCCCTTGTTTATTGATGGCAGGCTAAAGATGAACTGGTTGAGGGAGGGTTTAAAGGAAGACAGCCATTTCCTGCCCACCAAGGAGTCAAACTAGTAGACTATTAATATTTCTTCATTAGTTATCAGGGAAATTTCTGTAAGATGAGGCTGATTTGGTTAATTTTATATACAGCAGGTGCTAAAGAATTTTCTTTGAAAAATCTGTCAAATATTAAACCAAATAATCTTAAACTTGGAGTAATATTTAACAGATAGCAGCAAATCTTCTCCAGAACCAAAAGATTTCAATGGCTTTAGGAATAAATAAGTGATAGTAAGACATTCTTTCTCTCAGGTCAAATGCACTGAGAAATTTGTAAAATTCATGCCCATGTATAGACCAAAATTATCTATTCTTCGTATGAAACATGATGTATTAAAAGACACTGATGTTACAGAACAGGAAATACAAATTAATCAGCGTCTTCCTTACTTCGTATATTACTTTTTTTTTTTTAATAATCTAGGGAGAATGCTGAAAATGTAGCTGAGGAATCATCAAGTGCCAGGCACTGCTATTAACAGCAGTCATCATGTGGCACAGATATTATAAATTTATTCCCCACCTACCTAAAATTTAAGGTGCACATATCTGAAACTAGCTCAAGTCTTTGTGAGCCAGGACAGCAGGATGCCTCCTCAGGTGCCTTGGTTTCCTTCCTTACTGCTGGGATAAAGAACACCCTGATGAATCAACTGAAGGAGGAAGACTTTATTCAGCTCACACCTCCCTGCTACAATCTGTCCTGATAGGGAAGTCAGGGAGGTAGAAGCTTGAGAGAACTGGTCACATTCATCCACATTCAAGAACAAAGAGAGTGGATTGATGGTCAGCTCCATTTCTCCCACACATAATTCAGAATCGCCTTCCCAGGGAGTGAGGCCAACCATTGTGAACTGCCCTTAGTTAACACATAGTCCCTCACTAACATGCCAACAGACCAAGTCAATCTACCCAATCCCTCTTAACATGCCCTGTCATGGTAATTCTAGATTGTGTCAAGTTGAAAAAACTAACCATCAGCTTGAGTAGAGATGCTTTCTGTCCAGCCTAAAGACTTGCCTTTGATCCCCAGAAACAACATGAAGGATGAACCTACCCACACATATACACATACATGCATATACTAAATAAATAAAAAAATGTAAAAAGAACACAAAAACCTCTTGAGCAACTCAAAGTTTATATGTTAAGCACAGCTGCCTAATCTTCAAAAATAGACAAGCTGAGGAAGAGCAAAAACAAAAACAGTCCTTGACTTAATTCCGATCTCGAGATGCGATGGAATATATTGCTGCCTAAACTAGGGTGAGGAAGGGCCTGTGATGCAATACTGGGACAAAGTAACACTAACTCAGGCTTCAGCCTCAGTAGTCAATTAGAAGCAGCGCAACAATGTGCCATTATTACAAAATACTCCCACAAGTGCTCACTTAAACCTTCGTTCCATGGAAAGTAGAGAAGAACTTTACATAAAAAATAGTCGTCGCTGGCTTATAAAGTTAAAGCATTGGGGGCCAGTGAGATGCTCAGCTGGTAAAGGCACTTGTCACCAAGCCTGATGGCCTTTGTTTGATTCCCAGAACCCACATGGAGGAAGGGCAGAGCCCCACTGTTTAAGTGGTCCTCTAACTTCCCCATGCACACAATTTTGGACAATGACTAGCACCCAGACAGACAGA